TAGCATAGCTGCGGCTGGCCTGTGTCAGCTGACAGGCTCGCAGGGCTTGGGCTATCAGGCTAATAATTGCAGTGAAGACATTCAGGCTCGGGCTGGACCTTGGCTTTGAAACCCGGTGAGGGGGTGAGTCTCAAATCCCAGGCTCCAGCCCAAGCCCAAATGTCTACACTGCAATCTCAAGCCCTGCAACTCGGTGCCACTGATTGTTTTTATTGCAGTGTAGACATAGGTATAGTTGATACATCTGGCTCCTGAGCTGCAGTCCCTGCTACTGCAGCCCTGAGGATGGATGGTCCAGGCACTTTGTCTCTGACCTGCCCCGCCATCCTTGTCGCTGAGCTCCACTTGAACAGAGAAAGAGGATCAGGGAGCTGCGCAATGTGAACAAATGGAGGCCAGGAGGAGACTTGCTTGTGCCCCTGGTGATGAGGAATGGCCAGCTCCTCTCCCATGCCACCTCTCCCACCTGGCTATGAAGTTCTGGCTTTTGTGAACAAGCTCATTTCACCTGCCCTTTTTGTCTGTAAATCTTTTTGTATTACTGCCACACAATCCTAGAGTTGCTGTCTATGGGCACATGTGTACACATGGCCCCTGTCCACGCTCCCCTCAAAGAGACAGCGTTGCACCATGTTTCTGAAAAAGACTCTTTGGGAACAGAACATTAAATACAAAAGCTGATTGTGACTTGTGGAACAGAGATTAGCTGAATGCGGCTGGTGGCAGGTAGGAGCACATCTGGGCGTTTAGAGCCAGTGAAAGGGAAAAGCTGCCTTTCTTCTTAAAACAATTTTGTGTGAGCTTCTTGCTTGTGAGAAGCACCAGAGGGGCAGCTCAGGAGCTCTGAGTCCATAGCAGACCTGATACAGCCTGCGTGCAAGCTTTCTGGCTCCTGCCAACTGCCTCTCTCTGCCTCAGGGCAGGGGAGTTCAGACTTCATGCCTATTGCTCCTGTACAGAGGAAGAGGGGCAACTAGCCACTACAGATCAGCTCCCCAGCTCCTGTCACATTGCTGACTGAGAACGTGAGGCTAACTTTGAGCTGCTATAGACCTAGGCTAAGTCTGAACTGCTCTGTAACCAGTCCCCTGAGACACCCAGTTCCTAAGGGATGGCTTTAAGTAGGAGACTTAAAAGCTTCACTCTCTTTAAATTATACCAAATGCATTTTCGCCCACGGAGTCACACCCACTTTGTTTGGAAAGAAAATAAGCCAAGATGCAAATGTTCCTAAGGTTTCAAAGCAAAGCTATTGGCTGATACAGTATCTCCCTCTTGCTGTCTCTAAGGAGTTAAGATGCTCTCGGAATTGGAAATGATTCACCATGAGTCTTCCCCCCTCTGCAGGAGAGATGGCTCAGGGAACATTTTTTGCATGGCATTGTTGCCCCGCTGTGAAAACCCACCGGTTTCCCTTTTCACCTCCACCTGCTCGGGGCTCCCCAGTGGGGATCCCAGTTCTGTGACTGCTCAGTTTCAGTTTCAGACCCTCATTCCCCACAGAGGCACTCTGTGACATGAAAGGACAAAAGCAATTGGGTTCAAGGAGGCAGACTCCTCACCAGCAGCTCCAACTTGGCCCTCACAGGGACCTGTGCAGAATCAGACACGTCATGTTGGAAATCTGCATCCAAGTTAAGACAGTGGTGCCGGAACACGGGGGAGGGGGGGGTGGGGGCAGGGAGCCTGGCCCCGTCCACTTTTCACCACGGTGGACCCTGTCCCCTTCCCCTCCTCTACCCCCCCATGTCTCTGCCCCCTGGGTTCCCTGCTCAGAGTAGGTGGAGGTCGAGGGTCCTCCTTACTGGAAATTCTGGGAGGTGCCTCCCACAGCCATGCAGGAGGAATGACTAGATTTGGGACCCAACTGAATTTGGGGGACAACTAAGGAATAACAGCAATGGGAGTGAGGGCCATAGGTTCAGAATTAGGGATCCAGAGGGGGACACCAAGCAGAGAACCCCAGCCAGCACCCACTGCTCCTTGAAGCTGTCTAGGGAGCCAGTGGACGCTGCCCAGAGGAACTCTGCCCAGATGCGTGACACAAGGGAGGAACAGAAATAGGCTCCACAGTCTCAGAGCACCCCCTCATCCAGCATCCTCCTCCTGGTATTGTGGATGGCCACTTTGGCCAGCGCCAGGAGGAGGCTGACAAGGAGGTCTCGCAACTTCATGGGGCCACAGACAGGGTGCGAATATATGAAGAAAGGCACTACATTAGCCTTTCTCCAGTCATCTGGGACCTCCTCCGAACACCATGAGTTTTCAAAGATAATGGCCAATGGCTCTGCAATCACATCCGCCAACTGCTTTAGCACTCTCGGATGCAGCGCATCCGGCCCCATGGACTTGTGCTCGCCCAGCTTTTCTAAATAGTCCCAAACCACTTCTTTCTCCACAGGGGGCTGGTCACCTCCTCCCCATGCTGTGCTGCCCAGTGCAGTAGTCTGGGAGCTGACCTTGTTCGTGAAGACAGAGGCAAAAAAAGCATTGAGTACATTAGCTTTTTCCACATCCTCTATCACTAGCTTGCCTCCCCATTTCAGTAAGGGTCCCACACTTTCCCTGATCTTCTTCTTGTTGCTAACATACCTGTAGAAACCCTTCTTGTTACTCTTAAGATCTCTTGCTAGCTGCAACTCCCAAGTGTGATTTGGCCTTCCTGATTTCACTCCTGCATGCCTGAGCAACATTTTTATACTCCTCCCTGGTCATTTGTCCAATCTTCCACTTCTTGTAAGCTTCTTTTTTTGTAAGCTTCCCATAGCTGTCCACGTGGCTCTTACCAGGTTGGGGTAAAATACATGTGGGCTCCTGTGGGGAGCCTGGGTGGGAAACCAAGGGGGTAAGGATGGGTAGGGGGCTGCTTTCTGGCTTTGCCAAGGATGGCACCTCTGGGGGCAGAGGGAGTGAGGCATTGGGGGAAGAGCCTCAGTGGGAAGGGGCGGGGCATCGGGGGGAAGAGGAGGGGTGGGACAAGAGGTGTGGGGCCTCAAGGTCTCCTGGCCCCCTCACTTTTGGGGAGGTGCTGCTGCCCCTGAGTTGCCCCAGAGCAGTGACAAGGGGCAGGGGTCTGGGTAAAAGCTAGATCCTGGCAGTATTTTACTCCAAGTTTGCAAATTCCACTGCCTATAGGGAGAGCAATGTCTCACCCTGCCCACTGTGAGTAACAGTATTGCCAGGCCAATGGATAGGGCTAGGAGAGAGGAGGTGTGGGTTCCATTCCTGGCCCTCCTGTTCATCTGCGCTGAGGTCCTACACCATCTCACCTGTGATTCCCCACCACTACCCTTTGTCTATCTTGTCTGTTTAAGAAGTTAGTTGTTTGGAGCAGGGACTGACTCAGTGTCACCAGCCCCAAGTGTGCAAAAATCAGATTGATTTAAAAATAATGACTAAAACAATGTCTGAAAATGAAAACTGAGATTCTCATGTAACCTCATGATTCCAGAAGCGGGGGATGTAAGAAAAGCACCAAATATTTGCTAAATCCAAAATGTACTCCAGGATTCTTGGCTTTCCTTCCTGGCTTTGAGAGGAGATTGTGGCTGGTGGTTATAGACAACACATCCAAGTGCAGCAGCATCTTTGGGTGGGGACTGAACCTGGAGCCTCTTGATAGAGGAATCTGAAGCAGAACTACTTGAGACAAAGGGGCAGGGCTCTTAGTCTAAAAGTTATCGCAGAGTCAAAAGCCTCGGTATGTGCTCCACCTGCTAGAGGCAACCCAGAGCCACGGTGTGCCAGGTGCTTCTAACTAGAGATGCTCCCCTCCCTCCTTTCTTTTGAAAGTGGATGGCAAAGTGGATAAGACTTGACTCTTTTATGTCAGGCCTGGTCTGCACTAGGAATTTACATCGCTAGAGCTACGTCTCTCAGGGGTGTGAAAAATCCACACACCTCAGCAGCATAACTATACTGACCTAACCTCAGAGTAGACAGCACTAGGTCGATGGAAGAATTATTCCAGCAACCTAGCTACCGCCCCTAAGGCAGGGCTGCTCCAGGAATGCTGAAAACTCCACCCCCACGAGTGACGTAGTGATACTGACCTAACCCCTGGGGAGACGGTGCTGTTGATGGGAGGGCTCCTCCCGTTGCCATAGCGACTGCCTCTTGGGAGGTGGATCTCTCTCCCCTGGGCATAGTAACCTCCCCGCTGCAGCTTTTTGAAGTGTAGACCTGCCCTTGTGGCGGTGGATTACCTACCCTGGCAAGAGCAGTTGTACCACTGTAGCCTGTCGAGTGTAGACGAGCCCCCGGAGACGGGGCTCTGTCCTCAGCTCTGCCTCACGTGTCTCTGGGCAAGTCTGCACTCAAAACGCTGCCTCCTGCAGCCCTGCCGCTATAGCGCTTTAACGAAGAGGCTCTAAGCCGACGGGAGAGAGCTGGGGGTGAAGTTACTGCACCTCCCCGAGGAGTGACAGCTATATACCGCCGGTCCGTAGTGTAGACCGGGGCTCAGTGTAGATTCTCCCTTATCTAATGTCTGAATGATAGTTACTGCCCCACCCATAAAACCTTCTCAACATAAACAAAGGTTGTGAAATGTTCACAGCAAGCAGGGAAGAGCTAGGATGAGAACTGTCACCTTTCAGGTCAGCACACCCTCTCCTTGTTTACAGGGTAACCATATTGGTTGGGGCTCACTGCTTCTCAAAATCACAGGAAGGTCGGAACTTTTTGCATCCCTAGGCGCAGGGCTGGCCCCAGACCACATGGCGCCCCAGGCAAGGAGCATCTTCGGTCCCCCCGCCCATTTGTTAAACTTTTGAATACCGTATTTTTTGAATACCACGCTCAAATAAATTGGTTCGTCTCTAAGGTGCCGCAAGTCCTCCTGTTCTTTTTGCATATTTTTGTTGCCGTTGTAGCCCATTTCAGTTCCGCCGTCTTAGAAAGTAACAGTATTTCTTTTATCTTGGTGTGTAGATGGGGATTCAGTAGATATCTCTGGCATCTCATCAGACATGTCCTTTATTAGCTGCTGCTCACACTCTTCAAGTCTTAGAACACAGGCACACTTTTACAATTACACAAGGAAACAAGGTTCTCAGTTTCGCAGCCGGGCTCTCCCCTCACCTTGTTCTTCTACCTCAGGGACGGAGTGGCACCAAGACCAAGAGTGCCGCAGCTCTGACCCTGCCTTTCTCCAAGCAGCACCGACAGCCACCGGCTGGCTCTGCCCCGGGGCACCGATAGGACCCCAGAGCCCGAGGCACAACTGTGCTGCGAACACTCGGCTCCAGCATCCGGATCCCACCTAAGGCTGCTCACCACGAGCCCAGAAATCGTACCATAAACTAGAGACCGAGCCTGGCACCTGCCGTCCCCTGCTGTCTCCGGCCCCCAACGGGGATGCCCGGCGGGCCGGACTGCAGGCAGCGCAAGTCGCAGGGCGGGGGCCCAGAGGGACCGGCTGCAGCTCGCTGCGGGTGCCGGGAGCGGTGCTGACACGGGCCGGGCCGCCTCGGGCGCTGGAGCTGGGCGCAAGGGGAGAGGCTGGGGCAGAGCGCCCGGCTGCAGCTTTCGCCTCCTGGCCCGAACCCCAGGGAGACCCGGAGGAGCGCGCAGCGCGCCGCTCCCTTGCGTCCCGGGCAAGGGCAGGAGCTGCCAAGACCCCGCAGCTGGGGACGCCTCCGGGCAAAGGAGCTGGGCTGGGCGGGCCCAGGGGCGGACCCAGGCGGCATCCCCGAGACCCCCTCGCCGGCCTTTGCAGGGACTGGCGCTGGGCTGCCGCTGGGCGCTGGCGGGCTGCGCGGGGCCGGAGGGGCGTCCCGCACGCTGGAGCCGGGGCCGCCGGGCCGAGCGGCTCCGGGAGCAGCAAAGCGCCCGCTCCTCGGCTGGCGGCCCCGGCGCTCCGCGGGCAACTGCGGCGGGAGAGAGCAGGGGGCCCGGAGAACCAGCGGGTAAGTGCCTGCACGCGGTGCGGTCCCGGGGATGGGGTGGCCCCGGAGCGCCCTGGACCGGGGTCTGACTGCGGGGACTCCCCTGGGAGAGCGGGGAGGGCACAGGGCTGCCAGCCGCTCTGTGCTCAGAGGGCCCACGCAGGGATGCGAATGTGTAAGGAGATTTAGTGGTCTAGCTTTCCCCTCTCAGGAAAAGTCCCTGGGGAGATTAAGGCACAGGGGACCCCACCCAAGGATTCCTGCATCCAGCCGGAACGTCTGATGAAGCACGAGCAGATCTTTTAGAAGACATTGACCTGGATTTAAAGCCACCCAGGGATAGACATTTTACCCCATCCCTTGGTAATCGTTTCCAATTGTTAATCGATAACGCTGGTCAAAAACTTGTCAACAAAACTTTTTCCATCAAAAAATGCGTTTTTTTCAAAACCAGAATGTTTCATGGAAGCAGATTGGAAATGTTGGTTGGAAATGTTGTCAGGAAGGTTTCTAAGGTCTGGTATAAAAATTTTGGTCAGAGAGAGATGGGACCCACACCAGAATAGCCAAGAGGGAGGGACTGCCTACATTGACATGAGTGTCCTCATCAGCAGGCTGCAGTCAGTCTCTCTGGCAGGTCTAGCAACAAATATCACCAATGACTGGTGACGGGACACTAGATGGGGTGGGCTCTGAGTGACTACAGAGAATTTTTTCCATCTGTCTGGCTGGTGAGTCTTGTCCACATGCTCAGGGTCTAACTGATCGCCATATCTGGGGCCAGGAAGGAATTTCCCCCACGTCAGATTGGCAGAGACTCTGGGATTATTTCCTCTTCCTCTGCAGCATGGGGCATGGGTCACTCACTGGTTTAAACTAGTGTAAATGGTGGAGTCTCTGTAACTTGAAGTCTTTCGACCATGATTTGAGGACGTTCAGTAACTCAGCCAGAGGTTCTGGGTCTGTTACAGGAGCGGGTAGGCCAGGTTCTGTGGTTTGCCAGGTGCAGGTCAGACGAGATGATCGCAATGGTTCCTTCTGACGTTAAAGTCTCTGAGTCTAAGAGGTTAGGGCTCAGCAGGCTATAGTCAGTCTTTCAATCTCTTATGTGGGAGCTGGAGCTGATCCACTTTGTATAAATAATTAAATATTCTTTGGGGCAGAGAGAGAGAGACTGACTCTGCAGCCTGCTGATTAGGACAGTCCTTGGGATGTGCATGGCAGCAGGCAGAGTAAGGACTTCAAATGGGTCTCCACAGCCAACCTGTGCCACCGGCCTACTGAATGTGGGTCAGTTTCTCTCTCTCTCTTTCTCCACCCCCTCCCTGCCACACCTCCCCGAAAAAAGATTTCCCAAAGGTCTTGGTTAAATTGTTTGTGAAATGGAATAGTTTTGTTTTCCAGCCAGCCCTGTTAATTTCTCTCACTGTTAAAAATGTGTCTGGTATTTGCAGTCTGAACTTTGCTGTCTTCAACTTTCATCTACTGGATCTTGTTTTGCCTTTGTCTGCTAAGTTAAAGAGCCCTACAATATAAATCACCTCTTAAGTAAACTAAACAGATAGATGCTCCCCAGAGCCGGACACACTACACTGTAATGGTCGCAGCAATGCCGGATCCGGAGGATCTGGCTTCCCTACTTCTCAGTGACCTCCCCTGGTTAATATACTTAGCCCCCGCGTGGCACTGGGAGCTGCTCTCCACCATGGCTGCTCAGTCCCTTTCTGAGTCCTGCTTTGCAGGCAACAATCCCCACTCCCATCCTGCAAGTTTCACCGATATTGTTTGTTCCTGGCACCAGATGGGACCCATCTGACACTGATGCAGATTTCAGGGCATTGAGGTTTCTCCTCTATTCAGGGAGCAAGAACAGCTTCACTTCACACGTCCCAGCTCTGCTTTCCTGACGATTTTTTATTTTATTTTAAACCATTCCAAAAGGCTTTTGTTGTTGTAAATCTAAACCTGCGCTATCCCCTAGTGGCTAACATAGGCCAAGCAGCTAGTGCCTGCCTCTTCTCACCCTCTTTTGGACAGGTTTCAGAGTAGCAGACTTAGAGACTAACAAATTTATCTGAAGGTAAGCTTTTGTGAGCTACAGCTCACTTCATCGGATGCAGCTCACGAAAGCTTATGCTCTAATAAATATGTTAGTCTCTAAGGTGCCACAAGTCCTCCTTTTCTTTTGGACAGGGGGCACTATGGGGCATTCACTGACCACAGAGGAGGAAGGATTGTTTGGGAGATGAGAATACGGGAGCCATTGCTTATGACAATCACATCCTCCTTGGCAGGAGCTAATGGGTAATGTTTTCAAAAGCCCGTAAGTGATTTAGGCTCAATAGCCCCTTTGACTTTCAATGAGAATTAGACACTAAGTGCTTAAGAGATGCTCTGCAGGGGGATGTTTTGTCACATTCTTGTCTGGTGGTTTGGTTTAAAATGCCCCTTGGCCATACAATACAAATCTTTTTTCACATTATCTGGCAACTTTTAGAGACTTGCCTAACCCACTTTGAACATAGATTAAGTCTCTCTCGGGATGAGTTTGTGTAGAAAAAGGTTCACGTGGATGTGCCTGCATTTTGGATTAATTTAGTCCTCCCATTGCTCTCCCACGCTGCATTGCTGCACACCTGGATGGATCTGTCTGTTTACCTGTGTGCCACTATGCTGGGGTCAAGTTGACTGGATATCACCTCCCCATTTAGAAACTGGTACACAGCCAGGTATGCCCCATTTGCAGTTACACACTCTGGAGTCGAATGCCCTTCTCACTATTACAGCAGTCAGGCCTCATGCTTCCATGTGGAGCTGTGCAGAGACCATGGATTCCCCTGAAACCTGGGATAGGAGACAGACCAGTCCTGCTTTAACAGCAGCCACCACAGTGCCAAGCCATATGAGCATCTAGCGAAGGGAGAGGGGGCATTCTGGAGACAAGCTCCAGTGTCACAAAAAAGGAAAGGAGCTGTGGAAGAATTATAGAAACAAGGACAGCACTAGACCCTCCAGCCACACTCCCAGCACCTGCCCCACTTTCACAGAGCAAGACCCAGACTAGAGTTTTGCCAAGGAGGTGACCACCAAACCCCAGTATTTTGTGGACAGCACCGAAGGCTCCCAAGAGACCTGGACCCCATCCAGGACCCCGATAAGGAGGAGGTTTCCCTGGAAAGCCAGGATCTCTTCCCCACACAAGTGGCCTAGGCAGACCCCAAGGAAAATGCCGTGTCAGGGATGGATGCCCAGACCCAGGCCGATGGCCAGCCTGACAGTGCTGGGGCGGGGAGCATAGCCTGGAAGTAGTATGTTCTGTGTTATAATACAACCATAGAATCATAGAATATCAGGGTTGGAAGGGAGCTCAGGAGGTCATCTAGTCCAACCCCCTGCTCGAAGCAGGACCAGGACCAGGACCATACAGGGTGTTAACTAACCTCTCCTCTGGGCAGGGACGCTGGAACAATTTGTATCGTGGGGGTGCTAAGAGCCAATGAACGAAACTGTAAACCCTGTATGTAATGGAAACCACTTCAAGCCGGGGGTGCAGCAGCAACCCCAGTACGCCTGGTTCCAGCACCTATGCCTCTGGGAGCCCAATGGCCACTGTCATTTGGGGCAGATGTGGGCAAAGAGCCATACTGGCTTTTGTCTCCCCCACACCCATCCTGACACACACATGCTCAAAATGGCATCTGTGCCAGAGACTTTAAGCTCTACAACACTTATTTCTCTGAAATATCAAATCCCACATCCCCATGCCACACTGACACCCCATTCCCCTTTCCCTCCTACTCCCGGACAACCGCTGCCACCCCACGTGCTCGACTGTGACGGTAGGATTTAAGCTGTACAGCGTTTATTTCTCTGAAATATCAAAACATTCCTTCTCCCTCCCAATAATCCACCACTCCCCCCGCTAGGGTGACCAGTTGTCCCGATTTTATAGGGAGAGTCCCAATTTTGGGGGCTTTTTCTTATATAGGCTCCTATTACCCCCCACCCCCGTCTTGATTTTTTACTCTTGCTATCTGGTCACCCTACCCCCCCCCACACACATACACATACTCAAGCTGGCAACGCCACAGGGGTTAAAAATCAATCCCAGGGTGATGCACACATGTGTATGGAAAAGGCAGATAGAGAAAGAGAAAATACAGTATCAAAAGTACTTTGCTTCTTCCCATTTGAGAATGCTCTGAGATTTCAGCTTCCTTAGCTAAACGTTTCCCAAAGTGAGATATTTCAAAATGCATAGAGATTAGAAGGCACTCAGTGTCTTTTAAGCAGACTCTTTCCATTGTTAACCCCTTGGGTTCAGAACAATAACTGCAGAAGTCTACTTATTTTGCAGTGTACTTTGTGCTGATCTGCAGATGTTATAAAGGAGGAATTAAGGCGAAGTAGTGCTCTATCTTGGCACAGACATGGCAAGGCAAAGCAGGGCTGCCTGGATAGGTGATGTAACTCTCCAGAATGGTCCTTCCAGAGCTGTTGCAGGACTGGTGGGCGACATCACTGCCTAGCTTTCTGGTCTGCCCAGCATCTTTTTTTGAATATGCCCCTTCTCTGCCTCTTAGCCTCCAAAAAAAGGACAGCCTGCAGAGGTGCACATGCAATTATTACCCCGCCCCCTGCGCCTCCCCCCACTCCCACCCACACCCCAACCCTAAGCCCACCACCAATCCGGGATTGGTACAGTGTTCCTGTGCAGAGGAGTAGTAAGGTAGAAAACTTCCACTTCCTTACCATCTCCAAGCTCATCCCAAACTGGAAAGCGACTAATGGTGTTCCAAAATTGACGAAGAAGCAATATGTTATCATTATTGCCATGGAGACCTGGACCAATACAATGACTTTGTTCTGCATCTCCGCTCTCCCAGCTCCTACACATGACATGCTGTGCACTCCCACCCCCTGGCAGGAGCATTATCAACCCCGCAATGCCTGGCTAATCTGCAGGTCAAGAAAAGGAAGACACAAAATGAGATGTTTGGGGACCTTGTGTCTGCATCCCA